ATGTATGTGTGTGTATGTGTGTGTGCATGTGTGTACACCTGTGTGTATACCTGGGTGTGTGTGCACCTACCAGTCTTCAATTGCCTTCTGTACGTCACATCACACAGAACCGCACACACGTTCACAACGAAGCATCTCACGTGTCATTGTCCTTCCATCCCAACCCACTTGAACCCGCTTCAGCTCACGGTATTCCACTGCAACATCCCGCCCCCTCTCTTCTCCCCAACACACACACACATACACACACACACACACGCACACAATTTCCTCTTCTGCTACAGGGAAGCGGCGGGGAAAGACGTCCAAGACGACAACACCCTCCACGTCTCGCCCGGACTCTCGGCTCGACACCACGTCACAACCAACAGCGCCCTCAACCAGAGCCACCACGGCCACGGCAACAGCTGTGTCATCACCATCAGACAGGCGCGTGGTGACGCGTGTTGAGACGCGGTCCGTCATACGTCACCCTCGCCGCCCACGAGGGGGCCGGACAACGCGCCCGAGCACAGGTATAGCACAGCATTGCTCGCTCTCACGATCGTCCACCTGGTTGCCAACTTCATCTGCATGCGTCCCGTCTCACACGCGTGCGTGAATTGCCGCTCATCGCCGTGGAATGACATCACATCACCATGCTCATACCTCCCCCCTCCTGCACTCCGCGTTCACGCCCTTTTCCTTGCCGGACTCAGACGCACGTGCATCTGCTTCATCAGCCTCACGCTCGACGGCTGATCCACGCCGAGGACAAACCGTGGACGCACTGGCAGTGACAGCACACCAGTCCACACCTCAAGATGTTGCGACGCAGCAATCGTCGTCATCCTCATCATCGTCATCGACCTTGTGCCAGAAGCGCACACGCACAACCGGCCGTGGCACCAGGTCCGCCACTGGTGCCTCCCACTCATCCACAGCACGGCGTGTTCGCACAGCTGCCACGTCCTCCACCCCTGCAGGAACAGCAGGAGCAGCAGGAGCGGGGACACGTGGTGGCGGTGGCGGTGGTGGGCGCTCGGGTGGCGGGAATCGGTTCCGTGCGTCCGACGCTGTGCTGCGCGTGTTGGCTGCTCATGTCATTGGCGACTTTATCGCCTTCCATCGGACGCGCAAACGCTTCCTCGACCAAAGGTGTGTGTATGTGTGTGTGTCTTTGTGTGTGTGTGTGTGTGTGTCTGCGTTTGTGTGTATGTGTGTGTGTGTCTTTGTGTCTGTGTGTGTGGGTGTGTGTGTCTCTCTCTCTGTCTCTTTCTCTCTCTGTCTCTCTCTCTGTCTCTGTCTCTGTCTCTGTCTCTCTCTCTGTCTCTGTCTCTCTCTGTCTCTCTCTGTCTCTGTCTCTCTCTCTCCTTCTCTCTCCTTCTCTCTCCTTCCCTCTGCCTCTATGTCTCTCCCTCGCCACACACACACACTCTCTCTCCTACCCATGGCAAGCTTCTCACCCATCATCGTGACCCTTCGCTTCATATCCATGACAGGGCTGCTGTCCTGCTGATACAGCGAAACCTCCGCCGCGTGCATGCGTACAGGAAAGCCGTTCAGGTCGTGACACACGTGCGACAGTGCAAGGTCATCACAACCCGCATCCACCAGGACATTTTGGGACGTGCCCGCTCACAGGTGCTTGCATCTTCTTCCCACAGCAGCAGTAGTGGCAGTGGTGGTGGCCATCTTGATGACAAGGACGGCATGGCCTCTGCACTGCTGTGCCGCGTGGTGATGCAAGCGTGCCGCTTTCCCGGCGGTGACCGTGGCGCTGACACTGCCGGCGTTGCCGTACCCATCATGGACCAGGAACAATTGAGGCAGGTCATGCTCATCCCGCTCTGGCGTGTGGAACAGCAGGTGCTCAGTGGCCGCCAGCAAAGCAGTTCCAACACCACCACCACCACCACCACCACCACCACCACAACAACAACAACAACACCAACGACGACGGAGATGCAACCCGATGACGGCAACGCGCAGTCGACGGTCACAGACAAACCATCTTCCCCTCCCTCTTCCCCCTCGTCACCATCGCCACCGCCGCTGACTGTTGAGGGAGCGCTGCGTGCGCGTGTACTGGCGCTGCGGGGACAGAACAAGACACACATTTCCTTGATGGAGGTGTTGGCGTTGGCCCTGCCACACGCTGCTCTGCGCTTCTGCGCTGTTCTCAATGCATGCATGCGCAGAAAGACAAGCGAGGAAACAGACGCCTTTGGCTACACGCCAGCAGATTTCAGCATTGCCGTTGCTGCTCAAGCAGTCGATGCAGTCGATGCAGTCGATGCTGATGATTGTCGTGGCGCCAACAGTGACGATAACAGTGGTGACAGCAAGGATGGGATGTATAGACGCTCCGGTGGCGAAGCGAAGGGGGCGCAACAACAGCGCACAGATGACGCAACGTCTGCTGCATCTGCCGCTACAGTAACGACAACAGCAGCAGTTAATCGCAAGAGCGAGGCTGACGAGCATGCGTGGAGAACCGCCATTCTCAGCATTCTGTGGGCATGCCGCGCCCAAGTTGACACGACATGTGCATTCCCTTCCTGGGTCCTGAGGGCAACGGCGAAGCAGCTCATGCGCGAACGTCAACAACAACAGCAGGCCGCCACGCCACTGTCCACAACAGCGTCCGCAACAACACCCACAGCAGCCGAACCACCGCTAGCAGCAACAACAGTACCAGCAGCAACAGCAGCAACAGCGGTGCAGCAATTGCCGCTGGGCCGGCGCATGGTACACGTGTGGGCAGATTTGGTGACGTCAGCAGTGGACATTGGATCCACGCACCGGTTGGTGGGCAAACGCATTGTGGTCTATGCATGGGACACGACAGCTGAGGACAGCGTGCAGGCTCACATGCGCTCGCTGCATGTGGACGATGCGCTGCTACTGGTGGATGCCGTCATGGCCCGTGCGTTGAGCACGGACAACAGCACGGCGAGGAAGGATCTGTTGTGGTTCGCGGCGCTGATCATGTGCGATGGCGTTCTCGCCGCTCGCAGGATCCAACCACACGTGGACATGGCAGCAGGACCAACTGCAACACCGTCAACGTCAGGGCCACGCGCTGCTGTCATGAGCGAGGGCGCGGTGGCGCGGGTGCTCGCGACCTTGAAGACGATGCTTGACGCCATTGGCCCCATCATGGTCGGTCATCGACTGGAGGAGAGCGTGATGCAGCTTGTCATCAAAGCACTGCGCTCCCCGCACGCAACCACGCTCGTTAGCGCATTTCCAGATGGTTCGTATGTGTATGTGTGTGTATATGTGTGTATGTGTGCGTTTGTATGTGCGCGTGTGCGTGTGTGAGCGAATGAGATGTTCGTGAAGAACTTGGTGCTTGTCGCATGTTGCTACTTTGCTGATGCATTGATGCATGTATGCTCTCCTGTGAACATGCACATACACACACTTGCACACACGCTCACACATGCACACACGCTCACACATGCACACCACCGTTACACATGCACATCGATTGACTTTATTCCCTTTGTTGTGCGCTGCAGATGCGTTGACGCGTATGGTAAATGGGCTCAATGTGCTGAACCGCCTCGTTCGCGACACGCAACCAACTGCCATTCGTGCGTATTACAGCTCCATCAAAACCCGCCTTCACCAGGCCGTCGACCACAACGACTTTGCGGTGCGTGCCTGCAAGCAACTCGTAGGAGTACATGCGCGTGCGTATACACTTAATGTGCGTGCGTGTACCTGCGCGTGAAGCTTCTCCCAGGTATTTAGTATTGTGGGCAAACAAACATCTCATTCACAATCTTTCCGCTACACACTCTCTCATGCATTCACACACACATGCACACACATACACATATGCGCAGCGGGTGAGTGCGCTGGCGGAGAAGAACAAGATCCAGGTGACGGAGCTTGCTGCCGGATTCATGACGCTGAACAGGGGGAGGAGAGCCCCTCAGGACATGTACGAGTGCGTGAAGATTTTGCTGGAACACAACGCCACCATCTCCTTCGACGTCGTGGTGGCTGTGATGCAGCTGTCCCTCGACGTTCACGGCGCGTTTAATCGCGACTGTCCGCTTCTCCACAAGGCGCTGGAGCAGCAGGCCAAGTACGACGGCAAGGGCGGGTCTGCCGACTCGCTCTCCATCGCTGTTTGGATTCTAAACGCGTTTGTTGAGCACGAGATTGCGAAACGCCCCAGCAGCAGCGCAAACGGACACGGCAATAACAGCGATCATGATGGAGACATTGCAAGCGGCACAGATGTGCGAATGCCTGGAAATGAGAAGAATCAGACGCAAGAAGGCGAGACAGCATCTGCCACGCGCGGTCAGCACATCAATGACAACAATGATGATCGTGATGATCCTGATGACGACGATGACGAGCAAGTGTTGGTTGTGAACTTGGATGACTTACTGTTGCAGCACAACCTTCGCGAGCAGCAGCAGCAGCAGCAGCAGCAGCCCAAGGAGCACTCAGCGAGGCAGGCCAGTGTTGCATCCACAACCCACAACAGCAGCAACACCAGCCCATCCAGCCAAAACGATGCCAGCGACAGTGCTGGCAGTAGTGGTGACGGGATGGCGCTGAAAAGACGTGTGTTCCAGCGCCTGGTCGACACGTGTGACGATCCGCTGTTTACCAAAGCATACGGGCGCGTGTGCACGCACATATTTTCGTGCGTGGCCTGGCAGGTGGACGAGGCGTCCAGGTCGACGCATTTTGAGGGGCGTTACCCGATTTTGCGGTCGGGAAGTCTTAGGCTTGACACGCGCACGTGCGAGTGCCTCTTCACGGTCCTTGACCTTTGTGATCTCAACGACCTGGCTCTCCAAGTTGCGCTTCAGGCACTCCCAGCGGTGTGTGTGTGTGTGTGTGTGTGTGTGTGTGAATATGAATATGTGCGTATGTGTACGAATATGTGTATGTGTGCGAATATGTGTGCGCGAATATGTATATATGTGTGTGTGTGCGAATATGTGTGTGCGCGAATAAGTGTATGTGTATGTGTGTGAATATATGTGTGTGTATGTGTGGGTGTGTGCGTGTGTTGGTTCTTGTATGAAGTGTATGTGTAAGTGGCATGAGCTCGTCATCCATATACTGGTGCGAGTGGCATACGTTCAGCGTACTCACACGTTGGCATCTGCATCGCCCCCCAATGCCTCAGGTTGCTGCGGTCAAGACTGCGGCGGCACAAAACGCTGCGTTAGTGACCATCTCTGCCCACATCAACACACTCCTTCGCAGATACCCAGGTGTGCGTGCATGCCTGCGAACATGTGTGAGCTCAAGTATGATCCGCTGTGCATGCTGGCGTGCCGTGCACGTGTTTCATCGCATGCAGACGACACAACCTCATGTTAGCACATTGCTGTGCACGCGTGTTTGTGTGCCTGTGTTTTGGGCTGTCCAGAGCACATCTCTGAGGCGGCTGCAGCGGTTTCCTCAACCATCTCCAACACACTGTCTATCCGACCGGGCCGAAGCAGATCAATTCGTCCGTAAGTTGACGTGTATGCATGCAGTGGGAAGGAGGGAGTGACATGGTTTGCGTGCAATTTCAACGGTGAAGGAGCAATCACACATTCACGCAAGCCACGAGCGCAACAAATCAGCCCGCAGTCGCATTCATGTTGTCACACAGTGCGGTTACGGTTACATGCTCGTTCGTTTGCCGCCATGTGTCTCACGCTCATCTCGTGTGGTGTGGTGTGATGCAGGCATGCCAACTTCCGCTTCTGCTGTGATCTTGTGCGCACCATACCCGCAACCAAGTTGCACGTCAAAGAGGTGTTTGCCTGTGCACGCGTATGCGTGTGTATGCGTGTATTCGTGTATTCGTGTATGCGTGTATGCATGTGCATGTGTATGTGCGTGTGCGTGTGTGCACGTCCATGCGTGCATATGGCACGCTGGTGTGCGCATACGCGTGCCTGCAAATGTGCACCTTTGCCTTGCTTCGTGCTTGCCTCATACGCATATCACACGTTGCAGCTTTTGGAGTGCACCAGATTGCCCTTGAAAGTGCAAGAAGTGATCAGCAACACAGCTTTGCCAGGAGACGTTCGCGATGCCGCGTGCAAGGTGAGGGGCTTGTGCGTCAGCAATTCTGTGGACGACGTTTCACGCCCCAAAGTACAACACATACGCACATAAATTAATCTCTGCAACGTTCTCACAGCAACAACATGTTGTTGCATGCATGTATGTGTGTGCATGCTTATGTTCATGTGTGTGTGTTCATGTGCGTGCATGTGTATGTTCATGTGTGTGTGTGTGTATGTTCATATGTGTGTGTATAGTTCCTTGATCTCCTCTTTCCAGATTTGCTCATCTGCAAGATTTGCCTGGACAAGATGGATGAGCCGGTAAGATGCTTGCAGGCAACCATTGTGACACGTGTTCCGCACATATCAGCGTGCTGTTTTCGCGTCCCCTGACTGAGTCCGTTTCCTCTTCTCCCAGTTTACCACGCTGTGTGCTGTGTTTGCTGTTTGCTGGTTGTGTCTCAGGTGAAGTTATGCAGGCAGTCTGGCGGTGAGCACTACCACAAGTTGGAATGCGTTCACCGCTTCTGCAAGGCCTGCGTCCAGGTAAGCACTCTGTGTGTGTGAGTGTGCGTGTGTGTTTCAATGTCTGCAAAGGTTCATTTGCGTGTGCGCACAAGTACACGTGTGATATGCCTGCACATGAGTTTGTGCCATCTGTGCTTGGCTGGGAGCTTGCAAAGCTGTGCATAGCACACGTTCACCGCGTGTGCCACCGCTGGCTGTTTTGCCGCTGCTTCTTGCCTTTGTCCACGTGTGCAGAGCTGGCTTCGTATTGGCATTCGAGATATGCAGACTGTGTTTGCTTGTCCCGTTCCAAAGTGCAGGTAGGCTGTGAAAGAAGAGGGATGTGCAGTTTTGCTCGCGGTTTGCGTCTGCATGCATGCAACACCACCCGCCCATCGAGCACGTCTGCCTCGTCTTGCCTTGCCTACAAAGACACGCACACACACACACACACACACACACACACACACACACGCACACACACACACACACGCACACACACGCACGCACGCACACACACACACACACACACACACACACACACACACACACACACACACACGCACACACACGCACACACACGCACACACACGCACACGCACACACATACACGCACACCCATGTGTTCAGGTTCATCCTGTATCCTGATGATGTGAAGCGGTTGGCGGATTCGGACGCTTATTCCAAGTACCAACACTTGATGTCACGCAGCTATGACAAGAAACTCCACCAGATGAAGAGGGACGGCCTGGTTGGGTTCGCAGAGACGCACTGCTGTGTTTGCCCGCGCTGTCACGTCATCATCGAACGTGAGCATATGTTGTGATCTTGTGACGTGATGTGTTGCGTCTGCAGTGTTGTATGATGTGTGTATCGTTGTAATGTGTCGTGCAACGGTTTGTACATGTGTGTTGCTTGTATGTCGAGTGCAATTGAGCGTTTGTTGCTGTGTTGTTCAAGTACCACTCTCTCACGAGTTACCACCCCGCAACACACACACACACACACACACACACACACACACACACGCATCCACATCAGGAGCTGCTGGCTGCGATTCCATGCGATGCATTTGCGGAAATGTTTTCAACTTCAGCGCAACGCGCATTCGCAAGGGCCACGTGCCAGCCCCCGTTCGTGTTCCCATCTAAAGTTCTCAAGCGTGTTGTCACAGAATTGTTGTGTGTTACACGTTTTCGTTGGGGGAACATTGGTGGCGACTGCTTGTTTCATTACTGCTTCTTTGTTCAGCATTTGTCTCAGTGACATGGATGAGTGAATGTCTGTGCGTGTGTGTGCTTTATTATGTTGGCATAACTGGGCATTGAGAAGTATGCAATGAAGCCATAACAAGAGGAAATTAACGTGGATCCCTGATGAACGAGGGCTGATGAATGGCGAGTTGCAGCAGGTGCACACATACACACACGAAAATACACACACACACGCACGCACACACAGATCACCACAGATCAACACAGATCACCACAGCTCAACACAGATAACCACACATACACACATATACGCACGCATGCGTCACTTGTCGTGCAAGGAGAGGGCGAGCACACGCTCGAGTTCATCTTGCTCCTGCTGCTCTCGCTCCTGCCGGGACTGCCCAGCCGTTGCCGATTGCGTCTCCAACATTGAGCGTTCCAACGCAAGACGCAGCATTGCATCCTCGTCCCCAGACACCGCGCTCACGTCCGGTGGCCGCTGCTGTTGCTGGTGGTGGTCTGTGTCAACATCACCTTCATCACCAGCATGCTGTTGTTGTTGCTGTTGTTGTTGTTCCATCATGAGCGAAGCGCGAATGGCGGCGGCCAGGTCTGGATCGTGCACCTCTGCATCTGTGACGATATCGCTGGCGGCCGTCTCACCATCGCCAACGTGCTGCTGTGACGATGATGTGGCGAGACTCTCCGCAATGGCGCGCTGCAGATCCGCCTCATACACTGATTGGTGGTGGCGCGATTGGTGATGGGGGTATCATGTGAGCAGACGGTGGTGAGAGGTGAAGCTGGAACAGTGGGTGATAAGTACGCTTCCACTGGACAAAGGCAGAGATCACGCACAAGGTGGAGCAGCAACGGTGAAGAGCAGCACATACAAATCACACAAACACACACACACACATACGCACGCACACGTACACACACACACACACGCATGTACACACACACACACGCACACACACGTCCACACGCATGCACACCCACCGTAGTCGTTGGTTGCGTCGACACCACCATGAAGGCCCTGTTGGAGTGCACGTGCGAGTGCGGCTTCCTCGCTGCTGCCGCCAACATCGCCCTCAGAGAGCACGCGATAGCCGGCGGGAACTGCAAACAACTGCTCATTCCCACGCAATTGCATGCACAGTGTGTAAATGCAAACGTGTCGCTGCTTTCGCCTGCAGCCCACAAGCACGACAAGCGCACACGAAAAACAAAAACAAGCTACACACACACACACACACTCACATACACACACACACACACACACACACACATACTCGCTCGCTCGCAGGATCCACTTGTGAGCCCACCTCTTCGTCTGGCGGTTGGGAAGAAAAGTGTTCAAACGTTGCGCGGCCCGTGAGGACGCGATAGAGCGGCAGTTCAATCTGGACCGGAAATCCACCGGGCAGGCGGAGCGAAATGAAGTCACGCAGCTTGGCAATGTGGTGGCTGAGACATTGTATGTGTACGTGTGTATATGAGCAAAGTGAGGTTGCGTATGTGTATGAATGACAGAGGAAGGAATAGCGCTATGTTCGCACACGCCAACGTACAATACGTTCAAGATACACCAGCATCACAATCAATACCCGTGCACACATGCACGCACTTGGTTGGCGCGAGTAGCTCAAACACAGGCAGGATCTGCAACAAACAAGAAACACGAGGGCGCAACGAAATCAATCAGTGATCACGTCACGCAATGACGCCTGGCATCCATTACACACACACACACACACACACACACACACACACACACACACACACACGCACGCACACACACACACACACACACACACGCACGCACGCACACACACACGTACGCACACACACACGTACGCACACACACACACACACACACACACACACACACACACACACGCACGCACGCACACACACACACGTACGCACACACACACACACACACACACACGTACGTACGTACACACACGCACACACACACGCACGCACGCACACACGCACGTACGTACGTACGCACAGTCACACAGTCCCAAAAACATGTCGTTGCCCTCCCCTCCCCTTCTGCCTCTCCAAGCGAACCTGTTCCTGGAGGGAGAGCGGGAAACGATCACACATCCACAGCATGGGCTTGAACTTTTGCCGCTGCGTGCGCTGGGCGCGTGTGAGCGACAGCACATCCACGTGCTCCTGGCGATGACAGCATTTGCGAAGACGCTTTGCGGGTGCACCCACGGCGTGGGCAAGTGCACCAAGTTTGTCCTTGTGCAGCGTGCCTGTGTTGTACTCATCAAACGACAACACTTCGTTCCACTTCTTCTTGGTCGCGCCCGCCTTCGTCTTCTTTGCGCTGGATGCTGTTGTCGCACCGTCATCTCTCACAAGCGCCGTCTCTTCGTCGTGGCCGTAATCATCATCGTCATCGTCATCATCGTCATCGTCACCATCCTCATTCTCATCCTCCTCATCATCAGACTGCTTGGATCGACTGACCAGCCACGAGAAGATGCCACCACGCGAGCCACCATCATCACCGTCACTGCCATCGCCCTTGGCACCCGTTGCACCGTCCTGCTCACCATGATCATCATCATCCTCCTCCTCCTCGTCTCCGATGTTCACCAGTCGGCTCATCACTGATGCCTTTGCCTTCTTGCGCGCTGGATGCGATTTCGGCAGATGCTCCACCCTGCTCAAGTGGGTGGCATGTGTATGTGTGTGTGTGCGTGTGCGCATGTGTAAGAGAGAAAGAGAGAGAGAGAGAGAGAGAGAGAGAGAGAGAGAGAGTGTGTGTGTGTGTGTGTGTGTGTGTGTGTGTGTGTGTGTGTGTGTGTGTGTGTGTGTGTGTGTGTGTGTGTGTGTGTGTGTGTGTGTGCATAAATGTGCGTGTGAGGAGCGCAAACACAACAATAGCGAGCAAGATGTGAGTTCCCATGAAATGGCCGCTCTCCCCACAAGTTCCACCTCAATACAGACACACACCCACACACATTTATGCATACACACGCACACACAGACACACACACACACACACACTCACACACCTCTGCTTGGTGATAAACTCAATGCCGCTGGTGCCAAAGACGCTGCATTCGTAGCCGCCAATTGTGTCCACACGGTCGCGTTGGAAGCCCCACACGCCGGCCTTTGCCCTGTGGAACGACACCTGCTCATGGTTCATGACGGTGGTGGTGACGGGGCTGTCGAGGCGAGAGCGCAGCTCCTGGCGAAACCCGGGGCTGTCGGCGCTGGCGGGCGTGTCGGTGGCACCTGCCAAGTCCTGCACCGTCTCGATGAAGCATGTGCGCGTGTCGTGGTCGACGTTGATGATGTCGACATCGACGTTTCGGCCGTCGTCGGAGCGAGGCGTGGCCTTGAGGATGATGGTGCGGTTGCCACGGATCCAGCGCATGTTCTCAAAGCCAAGTAGCGTCATGTCCATGCGCACGCGCATGCCGCGCTTGTGGATATGCACGGTGTCGTCTGGGCAGAGGCCGGAGAGGAACGGGACCCACGAGCTGAAGTTCCACTTGAGGTCGACGGAGAAGTCGGGCGCATCGTCCAAGATAGTCAGCAGCTGCGGCACGCTGTGCTCCGACACGGACTGCAGCCAGTACTGCCGGTTGAGCAGAATCGCAGCCAGCAGGTTGCCGTTGCCTGTTGGGTGTGAGGGGGGGGGGAGGTGCGGGAAAGGTTGTGCATACGGGACGTGGGAGCAAGAGGTGAGGGCAGCTTTGGATGCCCACACCACACACAAGGGTGCGCACGCACACACACACACACACAATCACAGAGAGAGAGAGAGAGAGACAGAGAGACAGAGAGAGAGAGAGAGAGACAGACAGACAGACAGAGACAGACACACGCACACACACACACACACACACACACACACGCACACACACACACACACACACACACACACACACACACACACACACACACACACACACACACACCACATGCCGTTGCGTCGTGCACCGCTGTCCAGCCTTCCTTGTCCTGGGTGGTGACATCAGCGCCTGCTTCCAACAAGTGCTGTGCGCATTCCGTGTGTTGGAGACACACGGCCAAGCGCAAGGGCGTGCGTCCATAGTTGTCTTTTTCCTCCAGATCCAGCTGAGCAGAAGCATGAGAGGGTGGGTGAACATTGAGGGATGATTGTGCATATCTCAGCAACAACAGCTGTAGCGACAACCAGAACAGCTGCATTGAACAACGATTGACATCAGCGACGATAGACACGCACACACACACACATACACACATACACACATACACACATACACACATACACACACACACACACACACACACACACACACACATACACACATACACACACACACACACACGCACACACCTGCTGTGAGGCGAGGGTGTGTGCAAGTCGATCGTGCTGGTTCGCCCACACCAAGCGATGCAACAGCAACGACTTGTCACTCATCTTCGTTGCTTGTTTGAAACAAGTCTGTGGGGAAGTGAGAAATGGCCAAAGTTGTTGATGACTGTGCTTTTGTTCGTCTTCCTTGCTTGCTTGCTTGTCGAGTTCTCGAGTTGTTTGTTCATTCCTTCTTTTTTTTTTTTTTGATGTAAAACTTTAATGGTGTCGCTTGCCCCGGTGGTGGGGTTGCCCGCAAGCGACACGTCGTGGTTGCCAGATCAGTTGGAGAAGGCAGAAAGCATAAGTAGAAGAAAGCACAAGAGCACAAGACGGCAGCAGAGCCCGCGGCACCGTTGCGCGATACGCAAACAAAACGAATTAAATCACACGTGCACACGACCCGAGTCCGCTTCGAAGTGGGGGGAAGCATTCGTATTAATAGGTGGGTCACACGTCGCGACCCTAGGGCCGGCTGGAGGGGTACCCACTATCGAACTAGTGGGTGGGTGCTAACGCCGCTGCCGCCGGCTGCGAGACGGCGCGTCTGCCGCCCGGCCCTTCCCCGTCGACCGTATCGGTGGCGCTGCGGCCGGCCTCCGGGGGTTGGGTCGCGGGTTGGCGGGTCCGACGGCTTCCGCAGTCGGGGCGTCCGCTGTGCCGTGGCTGTAGTTGTGGTTGTTGTTGTAGTTGTGGTTGTTGTTGTTGTTGTTGTTGTTGGTGTGGTTGTTGTTGTTGTTGTTGTTGTTGTTGTTGTTGTTGTTGTTGTGGTTGTTGTTGGCGTGGTTGTTGTTGTTGTTGTGGTGGTGGCGGTGGTGGTGTGGCGGCGGTTGCCTGCCTTTGTCGTCTCTTTCTGCGTCCGTCTCCGCGGCGAGGCGGTCGTGATGTGATGACACACATTGTACTTCCCCTCCTCACACTCCAACACCCACAATACGGAAACAGCGCAGACACAGCGCAGACATAGGGTCACGTAGGCAGTCGATATGACTGATATATGAACAGCGTTTCGGTTAGAAATTATTCTCAAACACACAAGCAAGCATTGTGAACGCCACAGTGGTATGTACTCGCACGCCAACTCTGTCACCCGCTCTCTAGCGCTCTTGTCAACATAACAAGCGCCAATCAATCGGCTGCTTGTGTCATCAGTCTTGGGCAGGGTGGCTGCGGTCCAGCGTCGACTCCTCCTTTCGGCAGCCTCCATCATCGCCATACTGACAATCACCATCACCACCATCACCAGCGCCACACTGACCATGGCAACCAGTGCCACGCACACCATCACCGCTGCCGCTGCCATTAGTGCGCGTGCTGCCCATCACCAACGACACGTCCTCGTGAGTCGATGCCGCGACGACGGCGCCCGCAGCGGGGCCAAGCGACAGGACGGAGTGGGTGGACGCCGACTTGGACAGGAACGCCGTGGAGATGGCGCTGCTGCTGCTGGCTGTGCTGAAGGGGGCGGGCGGCGCATGCTTCAACACGCCAAGAAACAGCCGCTGGGCCGGCACGTGGCACGTGCACTCGCAACCGTCGCCCAGGCACGCCGCGCCAAGTACGCACGTGTGGCACGCCGACTTGGTGCTGCCGCTGCCCTGCCTGATACCATCCGCAGGCAGTGCATGATCGCCATCAAGGCCACCAGCATCGCCACCGCCAACAGGAGCACCATCGCCAACGCAACCACCACAGGTGTCGGTGTCCTCAACCATAAAGGCGCCTCGGAACGAGTGGCGCTGGCGCGTGAGCGTAGACCGCCTGGCCGCGCCACCCTCTGCCACGCAGCTGCGACCTTTGATGCTGCAGCTGCTGCCGGTGGAGTCTTGCCCGTTGTTGGCACCACTGGCTTGGCTGTTGTCGCTGTTGCTGTTGCTGCCATGATCATCGGTGCGGCTGGTGTTGCTGCAAATGGTGTTGCTGTTGCTGATGCTGTCATTGTTGTTGCTGTCAAGAACTTGTACACTCAGGCGACCGGGCTTGTGTGCAGAGCTCCTCTTGCTGCTATTGCTGCTGTTGATACTGCTGTTGGCGTTGCTGCTGCTGGCGTGGCTGAGGTCGACCCAGTCAGTGCCGGCCACTTGGCTGAGGGCAAACGACGACGTGTTGCGGCGCATGCAGTGGTCAGAGCTCAGCCGATGCGCGCTGGCAAACTGCTCACGAAAGTGCACCAGATCGTGCACGGAGCGGCGCCGGCCGTTGTCGCCCAGGCCCTCCTTGCCGACACCACACTCGGAGACAGGCATTGTGGTGTGCCTGCGCGCCGTTGCTTGCGGCGGTGCTGTTTCCTGGATGGTGTCGAAGGTATGCAGGGTCCATGTGTCGCCAGCAAGGTCGAGGGTGGCGTGGGAGCGTCGCAGGGAGGAACGTCCACGACGCCGCGGCGATGACGCCGAGGACGATGATGACGGCGAAGCCGGCGTGGGCGCAGGTGTTGACCCCCGGTGCTGATGGAGAAGCACAATGTCACCGTAGCTGCTGCGGCCACTGCTACTGTTGCTGTTGCTGTTGCTGTTGCTGTTGCTGTTGCTGTTGCTGTTGCTGTTGAGGTCGTTGCTGGTGAGGTTGTTGTTGGTGGGGTTCCTAATGTTCATGAGGGCGCGTTGCTCTCTCGCCAAGGAACCGCGTGCGCGTTGGGGCGTACCAGCAACCGTGGCAGCGGCGGTTGGGTCGGCCATGCCAGCCACGTCTTCTGCCTCTTCGATGCTGTCCTCCTCCTTGATTTGGGTGAGGCTGCTGCCGACTCCACCGTGATTGCTTCTTGCTCCGATGCTGGTGCTGCTGCTGTGGCTGCTCATGGATCGCTTGAGGCGCAGGGACGAGGAGGATGATGAGCGCGAGGAATCCTCAAGGCAAAGAGGGATGCGGGGCGGGGCGGCAATGTCTCTGCACCGAGGCCCGCTGAGCTTTGTGTGCTGCTGCTGAGCGTCTTGCTGCTCCTGTTGCTCCTGAGGTTGGTGCTGTCTCGTTGCTGGGCACACCTGCGCATGGTGCGCGTGTTGTTCGTGTTGGTCGTGCTTCTGTGGACGTTGCAGGTGCTGCTGCTGCTTTGCCTTGGCAGGAGACTGGGTTGTCTTGGTGTTGGACTCAGAAGCGCCCTTGGCAGACAGCATCCTGCTGTTGTTCTTGTGTATGTGTGTGATGGGTGGGGGAGGGGGAAGAAGATGGGACGAGTTTGCCGAGGTCGCTGCGAGCGCCGTGAGACTTCAGCCGCACTGTCAGAACAAAATACGCTCAGTCAGAGCTCGCTGGCTGCTTGCTTGCTGTTTGCTGGAAGCGGGAGCTCCTTTCCTTAAACAAAAGTTTGGGAGAGTTTGAGGGGTGAGGTGGCGGCGGTGTGTATCTGTCCTTATGTGTCTCCTCCGAGCTGCACTGGGAAGCTTGTGGCCACTTGAGGGGTTGTCGACGCGCGTTCAGCGTTCAGGTGTGTTGGAGAGAAAATGACAGCACCAAGCAAGCGAGCCTGCGGGCATGTACAAGTTCAGGAGACAAAGTGTGAAGTGAGGGGTGGCATTGCTTGAGTCAAGTCATGCATCTCGTTCCGTTCGCTTCTTCTTCTCGTCGCGAGAACACCCAAGCAGTTTGAAGATGCCTCGCACCCGACCACTTCCGCTTGGAACGCGCCCATTTTACATACATACAGGCTCACACACACAGAGCTATGAGAGCACAAAAGAGGACGGGCAACATTCCATACTTCCACAGGCGTTCGCGAAACCACGTCAGGTCAAAGCAGCAACAACAGCTTCCCCACTTATTCGGGCAACTTCACCTGTATGGGTGCGATTGACGGGCGTGGATGGCTTGGGTGCGAATGTTGGGGTAGGTTGGTGGTTGGTTGGTGGTTGTGCTTGGTTGGTGCTTGGTTGGTGCTTGGTTGGAGCACAATCCTTACAGCACTTTGCACTGCTTTGCAGTGTTTAGCAGCTGTTGCAGTCATCTGCCACCTGCTGGTCATGCGTTCATGCGTTCATGCGGCACTGCTGCTTGTGCTGCTGCTGCTTGCGCTTCGGCTGACTGGTGGTGTTCACTCACGTAAACACTGTGAGAGCGAAGGTATTGTCACGCCGCTTCGTTGTGCATGTGGATTGAAAAGGAAAGAAGGAAGGCAGTTAGATCATGCGATATGAGGATATGATGGGCCTCTGCGCGCGCGAGTGCGTGGTTGTCCAGCTCTCTTCGTTCGTCAGCCTTCTTCCTCGCAGCGTGGAGGGCTTCCTTCTTCATGCATGCCACTCAGTCGCATATCGAAAGAAGCATGTCGGCATCACTCTGCGGGCGCTTGCCTCGTGTCGCAGCTGCGCATCGCATGCCTGCTTGCGTAGGGCGCGACGTTTCAAACGTTTTGCATCAGTCCCGCTGCTGGTTGGGTATTCGCCTACTTGTAGGCCATTCCCGCGACATCGGCCTACAAACAGGAATGCGGGCAAGCAAGAAGCAAACAAGAAGTCATTTCCGAGAAGGTTGCGGGCCCCAAGAAGCACAGCAGCCAGGAAGCAAACAAAAGCACCGCGACGAAGCGAACCAGCAAGAAGCAAAGCAAGCAACAAGCGGGCGCGAAGCGAAGGAGGAACAAGGTGGCAAGCAACAAGCACAGCAAGAAGCGCCAGCGAGCGAAACTGATTCACCAGCAAACAAATCGCGTTTCGATTCGTGCGATAGGTTTAACATACAACATAACAACCACCAGCCAGCGCAACACAACGAAATACGCCAACCCCCTGGTCGAACCACCACCACCCCAGATCCAGCCAGCCTCACACGCGTATCGACACGACAGCGAAAGAGCGAACCCTCTTCCCCCCCCCCCCGTTTTTTTTTTATGTTCTGTCGACGCTGCCAACTGAACCGGTTTTCCCAGCCAACCCAGGGGCAAGCCGCGTGTGGCAGCAGCGTCGTGCGCGCGTTCCTGTTCATCCCTCGACCTTAGTTGTGTTTGGTTTTGTTTTTCTCAGTCGCCGCCATACTCTGAAACACACACACACACACGCACGCACGCACGCACGCACGCACGCACGCACGCACGCACGCACGCACGCACGCACGCACGCACGCACGCACGCATATGGATCCGGAGCGCCAGGGTGGAGGCGACGATGCTGTGGCAGACTTTGCCTTCACGATGAGCTCCAGCGGCCCGTCCGCTCCACACTATGCGCGCGGTGACGCCCAGAGCACGTTCTTCCCGCCTGTCCAGGAACAACACCCGCCATCGCAGAGCAAGCCATGGCCATATGTGATGATGCCGACTTACAGCATGCCCAGCTGCGATCCCCAGCCGGGCGCCTGCAGCAACAGCAACAGCAGAAACAGCACGAGCAACTGCAGCAGCACATGCGCGGGTACGGAGTACGCGGATGGCCAAGAACCCACGCCAACACCGCTGTGCTTTGCACACGGCGCGCCGCAAGACGTGATGGAATCGCTCATCGACTCGACCGTCGACTTTTCCGGGTTTGCCCTCACACATCACGGGCAACTACAGCAACGCCAACACCAACAACAACAACAACTCCAACAACTACAGCAACGCCAACACCAACACCAACAACTCCAACACCAACGCCACCAACAACTCCAACACCAACACCAAGAACAACAGCAACACCACCAGCAACAACAACACCACCAGCACCACCAACAGGGAAGCTTCGCGCCGTGGCAAGTGCAGCAGGCCCACCACCACTACAACCTTCACGCTCAGGTGCAACATGCATCAATGGAAGACGCAGGCGAAACGTTACACGCCCAACTGCAGCACCTCTCGCTCTCACACCAAACTGGGCCGAGCACCAGCAACTTTCTGCAGGCGACGGCCACAAACACACAAGATGACGAAGAGGACACGCAGGAAACTGCGCTCGCTTACGATGGCATCGAACCTGCCTTTGCCAACCCGGCACAACAACCCCAGCAGTCTCAGCCAACACAACAACAAACACCACAGCAACAGCTGCAACAATTTCAGCAGCAGTTACAACACCATCAAGCACAACTGCAGCAACAGCAACAGCAGCAGGACGACGGTGTTGTCTGGGGTGACTGCATGATGAACTGTAGTGGTGGAGGTGGTGGTGGCGGCGATGGCGATGGAGAGGATGGACGCGACGACGAGCGGGAACTCTCGTTTCTCCTGAACCAGGCGCAGCTTGCGCCCTCCACTTCGCCCCATGACGGCTTTCAGATGTCGTACATTGCATAGCAGCAGCACGCGTGTGTGGTTTGCGTGCACGTGTTGCTGGTTGGCTTGCGTTCGTTCATTTTTGGGGCAAGGGGTGTGTGTGTGTGTCTGTGCATGTGTGTCTGTGCCTGTCTGTGTGTGTCTGTGCATGTGTGTCTGTGCCTGTGTCTGTGCCTGTGTGTGTGTGTGTGTGTGTGTGTGTGTGTGTGTGTGTGTGTGTGTCCATGTGCGTAATTATCTCTCTTTTTCCTTCCTTGTGCTACTTCCCCCTCAACCACAAGCCCAACGTCTTCGCTCCCTGGGCTGCTCGGTGAGCGCCATTCCCTCTCGCAATGCCAGCGCACGTGTTGCCGTTTATTGTGTAATAGGTCCTTCAAAGACGTGACGAGTAAATGTACAGCAAAATGCAACAAAACCATACGCGCACGCGCACGTGTGGACTCACGCCTGTACGGTGGTCGACACCGCCTTTGGCGTCGGCTGTCAAAACATAAAATCTGCGACTGACAAAGCCGACGTTACTAAAAACACCTCAATCGCATCATCATCATCATCATCATCATCATCATCATCATCATCATCATCATCATCATCATCATCATCATCATCATCATCATCATCATCATCATGGTACTTAATCGCGTACTCTCCCACGAAAACACTTCCACAGCAAACTCAGTCATACACACAGACACATATGCACACACACACACACGCATACAAACACACACAGACACACATACACACACACACACAGGCACACACAAACACACACGTGCTTCATGCAATGTCCATCTTGGTGAGCATGGCGCTGAGTGCGTCGAGATATGCGTCGTAGGCGTCGCGGTGCCCGCCGCGAATGTTGACCGACGCAAGCACAGCCTCCCGTTGCTGCTCGTCGGCAACAGCGTCATATGACGCCACCACGCTGCGCGTGATGCGGTCCCAAATCCCCATGTCGATCATCGTCTGCATATGCGGCGTCTTGTCGACGCGCGCCGAGGCGCGAATGAGCTCGTCCAAGGGCAGCGCACGTGTGCTCCCCTCACCGCCGGCAGCCTTGTACTTGTTCAGCCACCGTGTGAACGGCCCACGCTTCTTGTTGTTGATCTCTTTCATGGTCACGTTGAGGTTCGCCACGTCGTTAGCCGTGTGCGTGCTCACGGCGCGGGCCTTGCTCGATCGCAGGTTGTAAGCGGGCGGAAACCGCGGGTTGCGTGCAACGCCCTCCTCCCACGCGTGGTTGAGCAGCTGTATCTCCAGCACGTGGTCCACCTGCGTCTCCGCGCCCTTTGTCTCGTACGTGTGGCGTGGGATGCCCGTGTACGCGTCGCGGTTCTGGCGGTGCAACCATACGCGGCTCGCTTTGGACGACACGCCTGGCTCGCGTAGCGACACATCCTCCATGTCAAACACACCCGCAGGCGACAAAGGAGACACGGGAGACACAGGCGAAGCACGCATTCCTGCTGCTGCTGTTGACAATGACGACGATGAGGACGATGAGGACGTCGACCATGTCGACGATGACGATGACAATGGTGCGGAGAAGCGCGCCACGCAGGAGAGGGCGTCGTCGTCCAGTGCCGGCAGCCCGTGGAAGCTGCGGATACGGCGGTACAGGGCGCGTGCATCTTTGATGCCCCGCATATGAGACAGCTGTTCTTGCTCCGCATACGCTTGCAGCATGGGCAAGGGGGCGGAAGGTGTCAGTTCTGCAAGGGCGATGGTCCTCTGAGGACGCGTCGCCGTTTGTGTTGGTAACGACGCCGCCACTGGTTTAGGTAACGACGCAGCAACCTGCTTTAGATGCTGCTGGGACGGGGTGGGTGGTGTTACAGGAGAAGAAGACGTGCTCGTGGTGGTGTGTTGGTGGTGGTGGTGGTGGTGTCGGGCGTTGGTGCTGGTGGTTGTGCTGGTGTCCGTGTGTGGACGGGCGGATCGCGGCTCGCATACCGATGCCGCCGGCAACGAGGGTGGCGTGGAAGCGGGAACCTTTGGTCGTGCGGTGGGAGTGTGTGTTCCTGTGGTTGGCCTCAAGCCGGATGCTGGTTTCGTTGTCCTTGTGTTTGTTGTGGCAACGCTTGAGGAAGGCGATTTGCGTGTCCAGGTTGCCCGCCGCTCCATCTCGCGAATTTCCTTGATGATGCGATCGTACAGCTCCGAGGCGCTCCTGGCCTTTGCTGTGAGGTTGTTCCGGCGCACAAATGCCCTCAGATCATCCCTGCCTGCGCGCTGTCCGCCAAGCACTCGCAACTGCTCCCGCAGCTGCACAGCACGCACGGCGGCAAGAGCTGCATCAGCGTTGTGTTCGGCCATCACTCTGCGACACCATGAAAGAAAATTGCGGATAATTGCTCGAAGACTTACGTCATTCGTCATCAATCCACACTTCGACCCCACTTCTTTTTGCGAGGCAGAAGAAGAGGTGTGTTTTGCTTGCTTCTGACAATGAGGGCTGCGACTTTGATCCTGGCTTCTTGCTGGCTCGCTTGGTGGTCTTGCTTGGCTCACTTCTTACCAGGGTGCACAGAGCCTGGTAGTGTGAGGTGTGATGATCGCACATATGTCGTAGGCCTTGCTGCAGTCACGAAAGGGTGACGCAAGTCACGCGCTGGCCGCCACAAGCAAGCAAACGGCCTGTGTCTGTGTTATGTTTGTTACATTACTGTTACTTCGCTTGTTTTCACCAGAGCACTTTTTCGTCTTGCCATTGATCACAGGATCATTCTTTTGTTTTGTTGAGTGATTCGACGGTCCCTGTATACAGCCGACAACACCTGCTTCCAGCACCATGAGTCACCATGGGAGAGCCTCGGTGTGTGTGTTTGTGTGTTTGTGTGTTTGTGTGTTTGTGCCTGTGAGGGAGTGTGTGAGTGAGTGTGTGTGTGTGTGAGTGTGTGTGTGTGTGTCTGTGTGTGTGTGTGTGTGTGTGTGTGTGTGTGTGTGTGTGTGTGTGTGCGTGTGTGGTTTTGGGATGGAGGCGCTGGGTTCCTGGTGGTGTGTTTTGTGCGTGACGAAATGCAGCGATTCCTCTGCTGATGTGCGTGGGTATCTTGCGCTGTGCTGTTCTTACATTGTGTGCTTGTTGTGATGTTCACCAGGCGACTTTCTCCGTGACATCGTCCACCGTGGGCCTTCGAAGCATGCATGCAGGCCTCAAGTGCGTATCGTGTGTGTGTGTGTGTGTGTGTGTGTGTGTGTGTGTGCTTTGTGCGTTGTGTTGTGTGCTGTATGCTGTGCGTATGTACTGACTCACACATCAACAATCATGTGCCAATCGTGTTGTTCATTCCAGCATGGATGATGTGCCCTCACGAAGCGGCTCCAAGTGCGTGACTCTGTTTGTTTGTCTGTTTGTCTGTTTGTCTGTCTGTCTGTCTGTCTCTGTCTCTGTCTCTCTCTGTCTCTCTCTGTCTCTGCCTCTGTATGTCTCTCTGTCTGTCTCTCTCTCTCTTTCTGTCAGAGACACTAACGCCCTCCTCTACTTTGCCCCTCTCCGGCAGATTCAACAACTCATATCTGGATGCTTCGTGGAGGGTACGTGCGTGGTTTCAGTGCAACTGTCGCATGTGTGGTTGTCGAGTCACATGCACCGCCAACTGGCGATCCTTTTGACCCTCATGCATACTTTGTGTTGTGCTGCTCCACGCTGCTGTTGTTGTATCTGCTGCAACACCACAGAGCCGGCCTGACTCGTCGTACCTGGTGAGCGACATTGCGACCGCCCACTTGCTGACACCCCCCCCTACATCATTTGGTCCATATCTTGCCGTTGGCGTGTAGTTTGCAGCACGTTCTATCGCATGGTATTCATATCTCTCGCATGGTATTGATGTTGCATGCTAATTTGTCGCCCGCCCCCTCTCCCCCATTCTGTTCTTTGCCTTTGATGTCGCCAGCATGGTGGGACGTCGCAGCATCAGGAGCTGACCCTTCGCCGCAAGGTCGGTGCACGTGTGCCCTAAGTTCAATATTCTACACACAGCAAGTCTGCTGTGCACAGTGTCACTTGTGAGTGCTCACTTACCCACCCGCGCGCACTTGTTGCAAGCACCCACACGCTGTCACTCTCCCTCCCTCACACACACACACACACACACACACACACACACACACACACACACACACACACCTCACACACACACCTCACACACCTCACACACACACACACACACATACACATTTATTTGCGTGCGCGCAACAGCGTCGGCAGTGGGTTGAGCAGCGGCTGTTTGCGTACAGGGAGGATTTGGCCGACTGGTTCTCGCTCCTCTTTGCCAAGAACATCACAGAGGCTTCGTTCATCTCCGACATTGGTGCGCAGCATGGTGCCGTTTGTGCGTGTGTGCGTGTATGTGTGTGTGTGTGTCTGTGCATGTGCATGCGTGTGTGAGCGTCTCTGTGTCTGTGCATATGTGTGTCATGCTTTTCTGCACAATGTTTGATATTTTACGCTTATGCGTTGCCTCCCTTGTCTTCACTGAACCACTCACACCGACGCATGTGTGTGGTGCAGAGGACGGCATTCTGCTGTGCCGCCTGGCCACGATGATCGACGCCCGCTACGCCGAGTCAGACAAGGTGCCGAGTGCTCGCGATGCGGGTAATGTGTTGAATGTGGCCTTGCCGTGCTCACTCACTCACACACACACACACACACACACACACAAACACACACGCACAAGCACACACACGCACAAGCACACACACACACACACACACGCACACGCACACACACGCACACGCACACGCACAAGCACACACACACAAACTATTTCATGCACCAATTACGGTTCACACTTTCCATGTGCGCTTCTGCCCACCAGACGCGTGGATATGCGGTGGGCCACACGCAGCACCGTGGATCCATCGCCCACACCAAGCTCAGGTTTGGACATGAGGGATGGTCATGACGGTGGTGATGATGATGACGATGATGATGATGATGGTGGTGGTGGTGATGATGATGATGATGATGATGATGATGATGATGATGATGATGATGATGATGATGATGATGGTGGTGGTGGTGGTGGTGGTGATGGTGATTCTTGTTGGCACCTTGCTTTGTACACCAATGGAGCCGCTTGTCATCTATGAGACGGGCCGTGCACTCGTGCAATGACGATGCAATCTCGCTTCTTCGCCGCTCTACGCTTTCAGGTACAACAGCAGGGCGGCCAAGGGAACGTTCTTCGCCCGGGATAACGTCTCCACCTTCATCTCATGGGCACGAAACCTTGGTACGTGCTGGGCTGTCTGCATTTGTATGCGTGCGTGACGATATAGCTGCGCCACTGTGTGTGTGTGTGTGTGTGTGGTTGCATGTGTGTGTGTGTGTGTGTCGATGCGTGCGGTTGGGGGTACCTCTCACACTGCGCGTTGTGCGTATTACTTCGACGATGCACGCGCCTCACTGCCTCTTGTTGTTTGTGTGAACACGTCGATGATTTGCTTGCAGGCATTGACGAGACGGTTTTGTTTGAGACGGGCGATCTGGTGGAGCGCAAGAACGAGAAGCACGTCCTCTACTGTCTCATGGAGGTGCGCACCTTCCCATTTGCATACACACACACGCACACACACACACACGCACGCACAGACGCGCACACACCGAATGACAAGGCCATCTCATTTTGCTTGCACCCTTGTTGTGCATCGTTGACCCTTGTTGTGCATCGTTGTCTGTCATGGAACACGTGTTTGAACCAAGTATCAAAGTCGATACTCACTCCACATGTTATCACCATGATGAACACCACTACAATAACCACCACCACCACCACCATCACCATCACCATCACAATCACCACCATCGCGACAGATTGCGCGTGTGCAGGATGTGCTTGAGCCACCATCGCTGATCAAATTGGAGCGCTCGATCGACCGCAACGGCTTCATTGCCGTGGACACGGATGCGCTCGAGGCAGCCATTACAGACCTCTGCCACCGCCTCAACACCCCGCGGTCACGGTGCGCGCCAACCGCGGTGGTGGGAGCATGGGAAACGAGGTGTCGGGCTTGGATGGCGCGCGTGCGTGTGTTTGTGTGCATGCGTAATTGTGCGTGTGTATGCGCGCTATTGTGTCTGCTTGTGTCTGTGTATTTTGTGAGAGCACCATGAACATACGTCATCACCACCACCTCACATGGCATCTCCGCGCGTCCCTGTATCGTCATCAGCATTGAGCGCCTGTCGCCCGGCTTCTACACCGTCGACGGCCGCGAGTTTTACCTCGCCCTCATCCGCGACGTATGCACACGCACACTCGCACGCTTGCGTGACATCCATGTTGTTCCTCCCATCATCAACTCAACTCACCTCACCTCACGTCACGTCACCTCACCTCACCTCTCGTCGCTCTGCCCCCACACCTCACCACACCTCACCTCACGTCACGACAATCCATCGACGTTTGCGGGTGCAGCGCGTGCTGGTGCGCAACGGAAAGCACTGGGACCCGCTCGAGCACATCCTCAGCCAGGCGCCAGAGAACGTACGAACCGTGCAACGCTTGCTTGCAACCACGCTCACATGCATGCACCACAAACGCGCTCATCCGTGGCCATCACTCACACCCTTCCTCCTTCTCTTCGCCCCCCCCCCCCACTCGTTCCACATTGCCACCCTTCCGCCCTTGATTCCACCAGGGCGCGTCTCGGCCTGCGACTGCTGGCGATGGCAGCGGCACCACGAAGCCACGTCGGCCCTCCGCCACCGCAGCCGCTCCACAACCGAGGTGCCCGCTGTGTTAACACTTGGTCGTGTCTTTGGTTTCGGTCGCGCGTGTCAGTACGTTGTGGAAGCATGCGCACACAAACACACACACACACGCACACACACGCACGCACACACACACACACACGCACACACACACGCACACGCACACGGTCACACACACACACACACACACACGCACACACACACACACACACGCACACACACACACACACACACACACACACACACACAACCTCGCGCACCCATCTCTCCTCCCTCGCTCCTTTTATTGCTTCCACACACTCGCACACGACCCTGCCGCTTTCAATCTCACCACCACCACCACCACCACCACCACCACCACCACCAGCGGGCGGTCGCCGTCGTCCACGCAACTTGGTGCCGCCTCTGGCGATGCCCAGCCAGCAGCCACGTCCCCGCGCTCAGCAGCCTTTGCCTCCGCACCCCGCTCCCCGCTCGATCGCAGCACCAGCAACCTCGACGGCGATGCCGTCAGCAGTCGTGGCCCTGGCAGCGGTGGCCGTGGCCCTAGCAGCGCCCCGCTGAGCGCGAGCGGCCTCACGCTGCCTGTCCCACGTGGGCGAAGCGGCCGCAACACAAGTACCAGCAGTGGTGGCGTTGGCGGTGGTGGTGCTGGCGGCGGTGTCGATGACAGTCGCAGCAGCAGCCAGAACACAAGTCGCCGCCGCTCCAATGCCGGAGAATCGGTCCGCCCCGCCATCTTGCAGGACAGCCTGCACGGCCCGGCCATCCCGACACACGACAACCAGGCCCTGCTCGACGAGGTGCGTTTCTGTACATCTGTGTTTCTGTGGTTATGTGTGTTTGTATGCACGCGGTTGTGTGTGTGTGTGTGTTTGCATATATGCGGTTGTGTGTGTGTGTGTTTGCATTTCGTGTGTTTGCATGTGGGTGTTGCGTGCGCATTCATTCGCGCGCGTGCCATGCGCCCTTTCCATCTCACGGCCCCTGTGGCCACCCAATCACCCATCCCACTGCATACCACTCACCCCTCCGAACAACAATCGTGTTTGCAGATTGAGGAGCTTCAGCGGCGCGTTGCTGAGCTCGAGGGCGACCTGACGGAGGCCGAGGCCGCCTGTGATGACGAGCGATGCGCACACGATGACACGCGCGCACAGCTCGCAGACCTCAAGGACAGGTGCGATAGATTACCAAAAATTTGGGGGGGGGGGGGGAGGGAGGAGAGAGGGATGTTGCCTGTTGGTCTTATTGAATGTGTGCTGTTGCTCACATGGCTGTTTTTCCTTCTTGCACTGACCACCGTGTGCTGAATGCAGACTTGCTGCCCAACCCTCTTCCGACGACTTTGTGAGAACACAACACATGCGTCCATGCACACATGCACGTGTGCCTGTTGGTGCACTCGTCAGGGACACCTTCATTTAGCCCTCTCAAGCGCTCAGACGGCCTTCAACACCCCTCCCCCCTCACATGACCCTCCCTCCCCCAACACACACTCACACACTCACGCAACATGTGCATGTGCACACTACTCCCAGGCCGAGCTTGAGGCGCAGAATTCGGAGGCGGCGCAGCGGCTGAAGGACTGCATCGATGACATGGAGCGCATGCGCGACGATTACGACGGTGATACGACAAGCAGTGGGCGTGGGGGAGGGCGTGGCTGTGTTGATGTGTGTGTGTGTGTGTGCGTGTTGATGTGTGCATGTGCATGTGCATGTGCATGGTAGGAGTATGTGCATGTGTGTTTGTGTGTGCGTCTGCGTCCACGATTGACGTACATTCTCACCTGCGTGCGACACCCCCCCCCTGCCTCTCGTCCCATTCCAATCGTCCTCCTCTGCATTCTTTGCACCACTGCCGCCACCAGCTGCGTTGGAGCGAAAGGACCAGGAGCTGGCTGGCCGCGACAGCACCATCAATCTCCTCCAAGAACAGCTCGACGCAGCTGCTGCCCCAGCGGTACGCACACGCACACGCACACACGCGCACACGCGCACACGCACACACACACAATTGTACACGCGCGCACACACAATTGTACACGCACACACACACAATTGTACACGCGCACACACACCCACACACACAATTGTACACGCACACACACACCCACACACACACACAATTGTACACGCACACACATGCATGCAACTACACACACACATGCATGCAACTACGCACGCACACACATATACATACAACTACGCACGCACACACATATACATGCAACTACACACGAGACAGCCATTATTGGTTCGTTTGTGCCGTATGTGAGAGGTAAGCCGCAACAGCATTGCTGTCTCGTATTGCACTCACGACACTGTGATGTCTCTGTTCCGCTTGGCAGAACGTCATTGAGCCAGAGCACGTGGAAAAGCTCAACGGTGAGAGGATGTGTGCAGGTGATTTTGTGTGTCATTGCGTGCATGATGCCCATCTGCCACGGGTGTCCACGACCAAGTCACTACCCACCCCTTGACTCATTCATTTCTCTCTTGACCATCCCACCCTCCCTCCCTTACGTACGTTTCCAAACATACCCGTGTCTGTCCCTTTGTGCAGCGCAACTTGCGGATGCGCACGCCGCTGTTGAGGACGAGAAGCAGAAGAGCGCCGCTCTGCAGGAAAAGGCAGATGCCCTTGGCGGTCAGTCCCCTCGTCTCAGACACAGCGTTGCTCTCGCTCACAAGCACACTTGCGCGACGTGTTCTTAGCGGTCCACAACTCACGTCACACACACACACACACACACGCACACACACACACACACACACACACACACACACACACGCTCACACACACACACACACACCCACACACACACACACACACACACACACACACATCACACATCTTGCGACACTACGTACCGCCCGAGGCGAGCCCATGGATTCGTGCTGGAATCGCCAAGTAAACGCAATAAGCGGATCGCCTAGCGTCGCAGGCTAGTACAAACTGCGTAAATAGAGCCAGGGATCACCCGCCGGAAATTATTTTCTGGAGCGCCCGGGTTCAATTCATATTTTGGACATCTAAACCGTAGGCGTACAAAAA